CAGTGGGAATATGGTTCAGTGGGAATATGAATGTTCATATACCACAACCAAATGGAATTTATCTATTATGTATGCACAACTGGCTCAACACTCAAAGGTTTTTTTTTGTGTGTGTTTTTTGTTTTTTAAGTCTGGGTAGAAATTATTGTCAAGTAGATAGAGGGAATTACACATTTCCATGAGAAGGTCAGCTGGACACATTCTTATGCACTCAAGAGTTACTCTTGGGATCCAGTGAAGTGGTGTGACAATGACGCTGCTGCTTGCTGCTGCAGCTGCTGCTACTGCTACTAGTACCGATGCTCATGTATAAATTGCTGCTGGGCTAGGTGTGGTGGCACATGCCTGTAATCCCAGTTCTGGGGAGGCTGAAACAGGAGGATCACTATGGATCCACGGTGGATAGCGAGATCCAAATTATAATCCAGATAAAACTGGTGACAGGCTTGTAGGAAGACCTCCGTGGTACCAGCAAACTCCTTCCTGAAACTGGGCTGCAGAGAGACTAATTCATTCTGGACCTCCCTGGCACATGCCAGTGTCTTCTCCCAACCATGGTGCAGAGTGTCCACTTTGATAATCTCTCCCTTCAAATTCAGAAGTTCATATTTGCTAAGAAGGGCGTAAGATTCCTGGAAGAGCCAAGTCCAGGCAAAAGAGCGGGGCCACGTGGGTGGCGCGGCACAAGAAGATGGCCACCACCAGTGAGAGGCTTTGGGTACGAATGGTGGGTCGGGAGTGGCCACCATGAGCGAGGGCTCCTGGGAAGCATACTGGGCAGCCGACCAGGGCACGCACAGGTAGGTCTCACTGCCTGTGCCCTTCTTGGAACATTGTTAGTCCTGCTGACACGCCCCAATGAGAGGCACTGCCAGTCTTGCCCTGAGCAGAAGCCCGAGGTTTCAAAGTTATTTAATATACACTATCGCCTTTAATAAATTAAAGGAGAAATATCACATGATCAGATTAACAGTTGCCCCCCAAAAACTGACAAAATCAAACACCTATTCATAAAAAAAAAAAAAAAAAGTTCAGCAAGTATGAATAGGGAACTTCCTAAAAAAAACTTCCAAAATATCTACAAAAAGCATACAGTTAACATCATACTTAATGAGAACTGTAAAGCATTCCCACTAAGACCAGGAGCCAAGCTAGAATATAACCTCTCACTACCACTTTTCAACATTGAACTGAAAGTCTTTTTTTTTTTTTTTTGGCAGAACCGGGTATTGAACTCAGGCTCTTGCTATCTCTTGCTATTCTACTGAGCTATCTCCCTGGACCTGAATTGAAAGTCTTAATGCAATAAGACAAGCAGAAATAAATCTGGCCCAATGTAAAGCAATGCATTAGCACAACTCAAAGCAAAGACTAAAACCATGCATTTACGTATTAAGTTCTTTTTTAGTTGTGCAACTAAAATGAGAAATGACATTTAATTTCTAAACTCCTAAAACATTATTATGTTAACTAATTCCTTGGCATTGATAAGACTAGGTTAAATAGGTAACAATTAATTTAAAAATATGGTTTACCTGACTGAAGTTGTTCAAGTTTATCTTTTTTGTGTGAGCACAAGTCTCCTATAAAGCAGATACCACCTTTAGCTAGCAAAGCACTGCCAGCTTGAATGCTAACTGCTCCAGTTCCATATTTATCTCTGGATAGAGTAGGAAAAATTTCAGTAGAGACTGGATGATGTATACCACGAGGAACAAGGCTTATGCTAAAATTCAAAAGTCTAAAGGAAAAATAAATCATTACTATTATTTAATATTTGACTTTCAGAAGTCATATGTGTTAACAGTTACACAATTAAATTTGATGCAACGTCTACTGAGCACCCCTCATATATGCAGCAGGTTGAAACTACAGATAAACTTGGACAGCTCATAGCCTAGGAAAAGAAACAGAAAACTAACATACAATGTGATAAGTACTCAAGTAATGTATTGAGAATACTAATAAGGGAATATTATTTTTTTCTAGGAAGGAGTCAGAGAAAGCTTCTGGGTTATTCTTTTTTTGTGGATTGCTTTCTTTTGCATATTCAGAATTTTACATTAGGCTTGCTAATGTCCCATCATGCCTATTTCTGCTGCTTCTGTATCATAGCAACTCTTGATATATCCTCTTAGTTTCTAACTTCTTTGCTAATTGCTCATTCTTTTCACTTCAAATTCTGAGAAAGGAACATAATTATTTCAGCTTAGCTCTAAAATGGTTGCCACAGAAATCAGTTGCTGATGCAATCAACTATGATGAACAGCTACAGACATGCAATGCAAAAGAATCTGATGGGGATAATCAACCACTATAAAATATGTCTTCAAATAGGAATTTGAAGATATACAAAATGAGAGAAAAAGGATTCAGATATGTTAGGTATAGATCAATTCTCCACAATAAATATAATATTGTATGTTACAAACATACACTAATAAAGATATATGAGGGAGAGAAATATTCAAAGAAACTTTTCAAGCCTATAAAACACTGGTTTTCAATCTTAGATTGCATTAAGATCACCTGAGGGAGCTTTTAAGCACATTTTAATGCCAAGAAATCCCACATTACTTAAGTTAGAAACAGGAGGTGGTATACATTTATATACATTTAAATATTTTAATTAAAAATTATATCCAGGTTCTTACTATGTGGGTCAGGTTGGTCTTAAACTCCTGAGCTGGTGAGTATTTAATTTTAACAAAACATTACTCAGTTATGTTAACCTAATTTGAAGTGTTTTTTTTTTTAGTTTTTTGGTTCTCTCTGTGTCTCTTTCTGTGTGTATGTAGACTGAATCCAGGAGCTACTAAGCTTCTTTCCTTCCTTCCTTCCTTCCTTCCTTCCTTCCTTCCTTCCTTCCTTCCTTCCTTCCTTCCTTTTTCTTTTCTTTTCTCATTCATTCATTCATTTTTTTGAGACAGGGTCTCACTGTATAGTTCAGGTTGGCCTTGGACTCACTGTGTAGCCTATGCTAGCTTCAATGTGGTGATCCTCCTTCCTAAGCCTCCCAACTGCTGGGATTATAAAATATTTTCTATTTTTTGAGACAGGATCTCCTTATGTTGCCCTGATTGACCTCAAATTTGCTATCTTTCTGCCTCACCTGGTATTATCAGTGTATACTACCATGCTCAGCTTAATTTCAAGTTTCAAAAATTTTAAATTCCATAAATTTATTAGCTTTAGAACAACATACAACATATTAACAAAGTATACTTGCTAGAGGGGAGTCCCTAAATGCTAAGTAGACACTTCCCCTAAAAAAGCCCCAGTGACTTTCACACTTCTTATATCCTCATTTGGGTGTAGTGAATGATTACTATTGAATGATATACATAAGGAAAGAAGAAAATAGCTTGTTAACTCATGGGATAAGATTAAATATGAACACAAGGTACAAAATCAGAATATTTGTCTAAGTAAGTTAAATAAATATTTTTGGGAGGCCCTAAAGAAGATGCATTTGCTGTATTTGTAAAGGTCTGAGTGGCAGAATAATTTAAAATTTTGAGTGGTGAGATTTGCAAAATGTCAAAAGCAAATATTACAATTCTCAATTTATGATTAAAAACTTTTGAACATCACTGATGAAAGTTGATTTAAATATGTACAGTTCTCAGATTAAAATTTCATACTGTAATAATACTAATGGGAAGTGCTTATGCAATTCTGCAACAAACTTACACTTTGAAAAAAATCACTGCACATATTTTACCTGTCTACAAGAAGAGTATCACTTGTTATAATTAAAATATCCAGGCAATTTTCTAGTTCCTTCTTACAATCACTTGTCTGTACTAGACTCATCAACAAACATAGCTTCAACAAATTATAAGTCCCAGGAGGAACAATTTGTGATGCGAAGATATTGGCAAGTATTGCTGTAAATTTCCAGCATGAACCAGAAGTCAAGGAGAGGAGACAATTGAAGTTGTCACTAATTCCTGAAGAAACTAAAAGTAAATAACAAAAATAGTATTATAGGTATATGATTCCACTTATCCAAAATATCAAATTATAGTTCTAGTGATGAACTATTCAAATTTTGTAAAATTAAATTATGAATGGAGGTTATGCTTGTCTGTCATTTCTATCTCAGAGAATGTAATAATAGGAAATAGTCACTTAATGTGCCCACATAAATTGGCTAGGGTTGAAGGCAAATCTCCTTTTAAGACATATAGAAGAAAAGGAGATCGTGGTGCTCTTGGAATGCTTACTGTATTTGCTCATATATTTCTTAATTTGAAATAATACTACCTTAAGTAAGAACAACAAGAATGGAAAGTATTGGAATGTTGTAGTTGAAATAAATTATTTGTATTCTATTCTGGAATCGCTATATTATTTTGTAACATTCTAGGTCTTCTCTATTCCTCATTTTCTCCAATTCTTGAAAAGTGTAAGTGTTCTGGTTTAAATATGAAGTGTTTTCTCCAAAACTCTTGCATTAAGGGCTTATCCCCAATGCAGCAACCTTCTCAGGTAGAACTTAGAGAGGTGACTGGACCACAGATGTGCTAACCTCACCGGTGGGTTAATCCATTGATGAGTTCATAGCTACATGGGCTATCATGAGGTAGGGCCCAGTTGGAGTTAGTAGACCACCAGGAACATGATTTTGAAGGGTATATCTTATCCAAGACTGTCTGTTTTTTTCCCCTTATTCTCTGCTTCCTGGCTGTCATCAGGTGAGTAGCTTTCTTTGCCATTCCTTTATACTCCCCTTCTTCCTGTCCATGAGTCATGTGCTGAAGACCAACCCCCTAGACCAAATGTGTAAGAACTGAAGCCTGTCCTTTGTCCAGTGCTCACTCATCTTGGACAGGAGTCTGTTGAGTCAAATGTACACACAATGAAATCCTGTCAGGCATCAGAGCTGTACGATATTATCCATGTTTTATTTTCTCCATGGCATTTATTGTCAGAAAAGATAGTATTGGTTGTTTATATTTTTATTGACCATCTACTACAGACTTCAGAATAGGAACTTGGCTGTCCTGTATCCCTAGTATTCAGAAGAGTGTGTAGCACAAAGACAAACAGTATTTATTTGCTGAATGGATTAACTGAAATTGAAATGTTTGTTAATATATGATTTTCCTTACCTTTTGGATTGCAAAAAGTGATGCTATTTGCTTCTATGCAGACAGCTGTTTGTGAACTTTTGACACACGCTGGAATTCCAATAATTTTATACTCATTTCCTATATCCATTTTATTTACTAATTCATCTAAAGTTATTAAACACAGAAAAGAGTACATGATCATATGTTTCAAACATCCAGACCCACAAAAAATTTAGTGGTTTGGTAGGTAATAAAGTACTTAGAATAACTATGTAGAATAATAGCGTTTAGAATAATAACTATATGTAAACCAATAAAGTAAGTTGAGACAGTTTCATGATATATTTTATACTTGTGTATAACAGGAATTACCTTTAAGAAGCATGTTAAACTACAGTTAAGAGTGAAAAAAAAAATTAGATGCTAGGGAGATAGCTCAGCAGTCTAAGACCCTGCCTGGCAAGCACGAAGATCTGGGTTTGATGCCTAGTACCACATGCTGTTCTAGCGTGGAACCCTGGGTGCGTTGTGCCAGTCACCAAAACTGGGCCTGGTGGCACATACCTATAATCCCAGTGCTGGGGAGGCTGACACAGAGGATCACTATGAGACCCTGTACCAAATAAATAAATAAATATTTTTAAAAGTAGAAAATTATTGTATATAAATGAAACACCTTTCTATTAAATGGCAGGGAATATTAATAAAAAGATTATATATGATAATATTATTGGGAAAGAAAAGAATTTTAAAAGGTGCTGTTCATTTCCTATAATATTTTATAATATATATGTAATATAATAACTTTAAACTGTAAAGTAGATATTATTCCCACTTCACACATGAAGAAACTAAAAAGGTAAGGGAATTACACAAGGCTATATTTCTAGTCAATAGCAGAACTGAAACCCATTCTATTTAGGATTTTCACTTATACATAGAGAATGGGTAAAGCTTTTGTATAAGTTCAATTTGAAAAACACACTAAATTTTGATCCTCTATTCCACCATTAGAAGATGCTTGGTGGCAAAATTATGAAAGAAAGGTTTACAAGAGGTTTGCAATTGTGAAGTTCTTTCTGTGCAGAAGAAGTGATCTTTTTTACTGTACCTTCTTAATACCAGACAGATACTGGTATAACTGTAGAACTAAAAGGGAAGAATCAGGCTCAACAAGTTGAGAAAGTAAAAACAAACACAAATGGGAAATTCTCTAAGGCCAGTTGCCTGGGAGCCTAAAGCAGGAAGACCATAAACTCACGGATAATCTGATCAACTTAGTGAGAACCTGTCTCAAAATTAAAAAATAAAAAGGGCTGAATATAGCTCACTGCTACCTGGGTTCAATTCCCAATAACACTACCCACAGTAAAACAAACAATAACAAAAAATCATGAACACTAAAATCCCCAAACCAACCAACCAACCAACCAACCAACCAACCAACCAAAAACCTAAAAATAACTAAAGAATGAGAAATGAATTACAAGATGAAAATAAAATCAAAGACCATTATCTCTATAAGTAAATAGTTCTTGGGAGTTTTGTATGTTTTTTATGCTGCTTTCTTTTAAAGAGAAAGAAATAATAAAACAAAATTTAAAATCAAGTTAGTAGAATTATAATAATTAATACATTGCCTGTTGTTGTCTTTGTAGTCGTTATTCAGAGTGTAAGATATAGGCATGATATTGAGACAAGGTCTCTCTATGTAGTTCAGGCTGACCTTGAATTCACTGTGTAGTCCATGCTAGCCTGGACTTGTGGCAGTCCTCCTACCTCACTCTCCTGTGTGCTGAGATTACAAGCTTGCACCACCATACTCAACTAGTAAATAGTTTTTTAAAAATATTTCATTAAATTTTAGAGTTTGGTGGATGTGTCCTGAGGTTACTGAAAGATCAAGAGGAAGAAAAGGAGCCTGGAAAATCTATGTATCTCTTCTAAGTGAACTCAAAAAGGTTGTTTAGGCCTGGGGATGTGATTCAGTGGCACAACACCTGCATGGCAAGCACGAGGTCCTATGTTCAATTCCCAGTACAAAAAAAAAAAAAAAAAAAAAAGGCCTGCTTTGATTTGTTTAATTTAATTTTATTTTTGTTTTTTATTTTTTAATTTAAAAAAATTTTGGGGGGAGCTTCTTTAGACAAAATGTTTTCTACAAAAGTGCAAATCAGCTTTGTACTAAACTATAGTCAAAATGGATCAAAGGTTTAAATTTTAAAATTTTACAAAATAGTCCTGTGAGATATGCTAATGGTATTTTGGTTAGGACTGCATTACATCTGCAGGACAATTCTGGGAGTATGGCCATTTTTACTATGTTGGTTCATGAACTCCAACGGCACAGGAAATACTACAATCGACAACTGGGACCTCATCTTATTAAAAGGTTTTGCACAGCAAAAGAAATCACAAACAGGGTGAAAAGACAACCCACAGTGGGAAAAAAATCTTAGTTCTTTCAGATGAAAGGCTTCTATTTAGAACATACAAAGAACTGAAAAAAAAAAAAAAAAATCAGGGCCGGTTAGATAGCTCAGTGAACTAAAGCGCTTGCTTAGGGCAGAGTGCAGCAGCCAGGGTTTGATCCCCGGGGTTCAAGTCTGCTCTATGTAGTGAGACCCTGTAGACCTTGTACTAAATATGTTAAAAAAATCAGACCCCCAAACTTAAAGACCCAAGCCAAAAATGGGCATCAGAAATGAACAGAGACTTCTCAGAAAAAGTACAATCAGCAAAGAAATATATGAAAAAAATGTTCAACATTACTGATCATTTGAGAGATGCAAATTAAAACACTGAGATTCCATATCACTCTAGAAAGAATGGCTATTACTAAGAAATCAATGCATAAAAAATACTGGTGGGACTGTGGAGAAAATTTCATTTAGGAGAAAAAGTTTCAGCCCCATCCTCATTTTCAGTCCTGGCTTTTCTGTGAAGACTTATTTCTTTCCTGAGCAACTGACATTAAGTGATTTTTCTTCTTCACAGTGTACTATCTAGTTCACAGGTACTTAGCTATGTAGTTCTCAATAGAGAATCAAATGTGAATGCAAAATACTTGAGTTTTTTACTACATGAAGGAATAAAAACAAAGTTTTTACTTTTGTGAAGTTTGTATACTAAAACAATAATCTCAATCTTAACAATGACAAACAGATAAAAAAAAGAGGGATTATTGCCTTAAAATGACTGTAAACCTGAGGATTAGCATAATGATTTAGATACAGTAGGTGAGTACAAATATTGTTTAAAATGAATACTGTGTGATTGAATAATTGACACATTAGCTAAATGGAACTTTAAGAAAACTCAAGAATAAAATGACTTGTCATTTCTAAGGTATAGAAGCATAGTATTAATATATATACACATAAATAAGTCAACTCTGTCTTCCAGCAATTTTGAATTTAAACAGAATTTACATACCTCTTAGGAAGACTGTAAAAGATTGAAACCGAAAGGGCTGATTTTTAGGATGTCCTTGAAAAGCGTGAAGTGCTTTTGTGGTAATTATTTCAATTACCTGTTTATCTACAGGCAAAAATTAAAACATTTATTATTAGAATATATATTCAATTTAATTCTCATATTAAAATATTGGATACTATTTTAAACATCATAATTATAAGAAGGCATAAATGCATTATTACCACCAAGAACTCTAAATTTTCTGTCTTCTTGAAGTGAAGATGAACATAGATTACACAAAAAGTCATTTCTTACTGTTGCAGATTCGGTAGCACCAGGCATGTGCACTCTTATATACTGAAATCCTGAAAGAAAGCAATGGCAAGCTTCATTTGCTTTCAAATTTACCTATTTTCAATCATTTAATGTTAATCTAATTCAAAGGACTAGTAATTCAGTCTTGCACTTAGGTTCAGAATAGATCAACTATCATTTATTCCGTGGCTGTTTCTTGCTGGGCACTGCATTAAGACACTGGTATATTAAATACTGGATGCTTGAACACTCAGTTTCTACATATACTAATGAGAAATATACTTTCCATATGTGGAATTCATTTGTAGAGTGAACCGAGTATACAGAAAGAAGAGAGTTGTATTCAGCTCAACCAGGGTGTGTCTTAGTTACTTGCTGCTGAGACAAAATACTCAATGCTCAAAGTTAAAAGATGAAAGGTTTATTTGGCTCAGAGTTTGCAGAGGTTTCAGTTTATAGGTGGCTGGCTCCAAGGGAGGATGGTAAGGAATAAATGCATCATAGAGGAGAAGCAGTTCAGGCAGGCATCAAAGCAATATGCAATGAGCAATAAGAAGCAAGGCCACAGCTCTTTCAGTCCCTTATACTTTATCCAGGCTACCCACCCTTAGTGAGAAGCACTCACACTATTAATCCTAGCACCCTTAATTGTACCACTATACCATTAAATCAATCCTAGTGTTACTCTAGATCCAGCCACCTCTGAAAAGCCCCCCCAATGAATGGCCACAGGAGATGTGGGGGGATATCTAGACACAAACCATAACAGTGTGAGAAATAAAAAGATATCCTGTAGAAAGACTGAACTGGTAAGACAAAGTATGAGGAGAACACATTAAATGGAGAGGGAAAAGAATGAGTGTATCCAAAGAACTAGAATATAAGAGCATTTATTAAATTGATAGTAGGTACAAAGGAGAGAAACAATTTTTTTCAGGAGTATGCAAAGTAAACTTATAAACACTAGAAGATATGAACTTTACTCTTTCACTACATTGTGATTAGTAACTAAATTGAAAATATCATTTGGAATTAGACAAACTGCTTGATCTTTTCATTTTTTACCTTAATATTTACCTTTTGAAAGGGGGCATACTTCATCTGAGCAAAGGAATCTTGCACCTTGTGTATACTTGGTTACAGTTGTCATTGCAATCACTATTCCTTGCATCATATAAAATCTTTGAGATGTATAATCAAGTGGAAATTCACAAAGATCAAGAGCATAACTTGGCAGAGGAGGTAAATGTGTTAATTTCAGCACTATATTAATCTGATAAGAACATAAAAATAGTATTAGTGAAAAGCATAAATTCAACTGCTCTTGAAGTATAACATCAGTGCACCGCAGAATCCAGTAAGCAATTTGTTAGTGTTAAGAACCAAATTTTAAGCATGAAAAGAGATTTAAAAAACAAAAGAATAAAACTCTTATAAACTAACATTTTAATTGGAACTATCATGAGGAACCCATTATTTTTCTTTAAGAATATATTCTTCCTGGCTATAACCACTAACACTAATTTTAAAACAATTTAAACCCAATAGCAAAAAATACATTTAGTGTCCAAATTGTGATCTTTAGGTTGTCATTTTTTGCTAAAAAGAACAAAGGCTCTTTGGAAGAAATGGCTTATTCTAGGTTTGGAACAGAAAATATGCTAGATAGACTTGGTTCATCTTGTGCTAGAAATTAGTTGTCCTAATCCTAGGATTCTAAGAGGATGAGGCAGAAGGACTACAAGTTCAATTCCACTGCAGGCTAATTTAGGAACATGGAAAGGTTAAAAAATAAAAAAGTGGGGAGATGGTGTGCTGCGGATGCAGCTTGTGAGTCCTGGGTTCAATGCTCTGTACCACAAAAACAAACTAACAAACAAAAATCTAATGGTGTCTGTCAAAAGGATGTAGGAGTTAACTAGAAGAGAGACTCCTCAAAACAAAAGCCGTAAGCATCAAAACAAGTGACAGATTATTACAACTCTCAACTATATTGAAAAGCTCATGAGGTCTTTGCATCAAAAAAAGGAAAAACAAAAAAAAATTTACCATTGTTAGAAGTTGCTACATTTTAACTCATTATAGGGAAATAAGCATTCATCCTGCTATTCCTGTGCAAACTGTATTTCAGAGTATTCAAATAGTTGACAAAGAAAATTTCTCTCATTGAATTATTTCAGCCAATAAATTCAGAAAAAATACTAAAATTAGGAAAATTGCAAATTTTCAACTCTTACTGAAATGATGGATTCTAGGATAGATTCTAAAACATTTGGGTAGAAGTTGTCAGGATGCTGCATAATGGAGGGATTAGAATGACCTTGAACCCACTGATCAATTGTGAAATTGCTAAAAGTGGGAAAAATTATATCATCCTGATATATTGCAATACTGTAATGACACTAACAGGATATATTCTTGTTAAAATGAATTAAATCCAGGGCCAGCCTGATAGCTCAGTGGACTAAAGCGCCTGCTTAGGCAGAGTGCAGCACCTGGGGTTCGATCCCGCAGTGTGCCGTGCAGGCCCTGCCATGGAGGTGTGCTGAGACAGCGACTAAGATTGTGCGTGGTGGCGTGCACCTGTAATGCTAGTACTTGGGAGGCTGAAAACAGGAGAATCACTATGAGTCCTATCTACATAGTGAGACCCTGTAGACCCTGTACTAAATACAGAAAATAAATAAATAAATAAATAAATAAATAAAATGAATGAAATTTGAATCTAAGTCTTTAGGGGATACTTTTATTTAGCTATAAGGTATATAAAAGAATAAATTACAGAGTACCATAAAGAGGCAATCAAATAAATCTTGATTATGTAAAATTTTATAGGATAGTTTTTTTAATCACTGTATAAAAGAGAGGGAAAGAGAATGGCTCTATTTAAAAGGCCTGTACCCTGATATAAGAATGAATTATACTATGTGGCCCTTGCTTTGATACTGATTTAAACAGGCTAGTTGAAAGACATTCTCAAGACAATTAAGCAAATTTAACCATGGATTAGATATTAAATGTTATCAACAAATTATCATTACTTTTATAAGGGATGATGATAACACTGTGGTTATATTTTAAAAGTCCACAATTTTTAGAAGCAAACATTAAAGTATAGGTAGGTGTCAAACAATAGAACATCTAGGATTTGTTCTAAAATATTTCAGATAAAAATAGGTGATGAAAGGGCTGGCAAGATAGCTCAGCAGACTAAGCACCTGCTTAGGCAAGCACAGTGACTGAGGTTTGATCCCCAGCATCACAAGCTGCACTGGACCCACCACTGGGTGTCCTGAGCTGGCCATGGAGACCCAGCTAGCATGGTGCTGCACGCCTGTAATCCCAGCACTGGGGAGGCTGAAAACAGGAGGATCACCATGAATCCGAGGTGCATAGTGAGAACCTGTACCAAATGCACAAAAAAAATGGGTGATGAAGAGATGGCAAAGTATTATAAAAATGAGTGACACATATAGCATTGTATTACTCTTTGAGGTATGTTTGAAATCATAAAAGTGTTTAATCTTCTTTTCTTTTCTTTCCTTTTTCAAGACAGGATTTTGCTACAGCCCAGGCTCACTTTGAATTTGCTACGTAGCTCACGTTGGCTTCTAACTCAATATCTTCCTGCCTCACCTCCAGAGTGCTGGGATTAATAATGTGCACCACACTTGGCTTAAAAAAGTTTAATTTTATAAGTGATAACACAGGAAAGAAATATGAACATATAAGGTATTCTGTTAAACTTTGAAAAGTAGTTTTTTAAAACATCTATAAATATGAAAATATTAATTTATAAGTCATCTTGAAAGTTTGTACCTGACTTTTGTTAGTTATTTAAGACTTACTTGCGTTTCAGTCTGTAATTGTCCAATTAATGAGAGAGTCTTAACAGCAATAAAACAGACCTGTGATTTCAAATAAACAAACAAAGTTATCAAGAATTCTATGTGGTGTAAAAGTATTTCTTTCCTTAACTTACTGATTGAAAAACTTGAGCAGCTTTTAATGGATGGTGTAAAATGTGATTTCCAAGTTCAGCATCTAATTCAAGAACATCAGAGGGATTTATTAAAATATTGAATCGATATACAGCATAACTTTGTTTTGAATCTGTGAAAATAAATAAATGCAGAAGTCAGGATAACTATGTAGAATTTTTTTGAAAGTTTCTAAAACTATCTTCGCTGAACATACCATTGTAATAATTGCAATCATCTATAAACTTTTGGAGAGCTCCACTTCTGTCAAGATAGATGAGGGCTGCCTCTTTCATTTTTAAATTCGACATTTTCTCCTAATTATTCTTCTTTATTACTAATTGATTAAATTGCAGTTTCTGATGAAGATTACAAGTATTGACTCACAGCAATGATGAAAAACTCTAAAAATAAAATAAAATTTATTTTTGAAGAACTCTAATAAAACTTTCCAAACTGGTAAACTTAAAATTGAGAGTTGTTTTCTTTAGCCACATAACATTTTTGGGAGGTTGTTGGGGCTTCAATCCAAGATTCACACATGCTGAGCATGTGGTCTAACACTAAGCTACAGATTCCCAGTCCTCAAACAACATTTTCATGAACATTTACCTGATAGTCTTCAAGATCACAAACTTAAGAACAAAAGCCACAGCTGGGCAGTTGTGGTACACATGTACTTACAATACCATTAAACCAGAGAGCAGAGGCAGGAGAATTCCAACTTCCAGGCCAGTCTGAACAGTGAGACCCTCTCTTTAAAACATGCAAGAAAAGGGGCTGGAGATCTAATTCAATGCCAGAGTGCTTGCCTACCATGTAGAAAGAGAACAAAAGCACCAAACACAGGAACTTCAAACTTTTTTTTACAAAGGAAGTACTGTACTCCAAAACATGCTTGTTGAAATATACTGGATGATAAGGTTCCCTTGTAGACAGTGTTTAAAAAGTGTGGTAAAAATTGCTTCCTATGGGGCCAGGGAGATGGCTCAGTAGAATAAGCACTTCTTCAGCAAGCGAAAGGGCCTGGTTCCGCAAGGGAAAAACAAACAAACAAACAAACAAACAAAAAAAAATCAGCCAATCACAGAGCATTAAAAAAAAGAGGCCGGGGAGATGGCTCAGTGGAATAAGCACTTCCCTGGCAGGTGCAGGGGTCTGAGTTCAATCCCTGGTTCTGCTAAGGAAAAATAAATACATAAAATAAATATCAGTTTGGGGCCAGGGAGATGGCTCAGTAGAATAAGCACTTGCCTGGCAAGCACAAGAACCTGAGTTCAATCCCAGGTTCTGAAAAAAAAAAAAAGTTGCTTCATACATTCAATCTAAGTAACAAAATGTTGGAAAATGAGTACTAACTTGGGAAATCTGAGAAATTAATATTCTACCCAGCATTGATCTTTATGAGAAAATCACTCGATCTCTTTTGGCTCATCATTTATTTGTAAGAAATGAAGGGGCTATACTTTATGTTAAAGCTTCTTTCACTTTTATATCTTGTGTCAGTGACCACCATAGTAGTAACAAGCAGAGTGGAATATGAAAAATTTAAAGACAACACCAACTGGAAGCAAACAGTATATGCCTTATAATAATTATAATGGGTATTAGAAAAATGATGATTCAAGATTGGATCTTGCCTTCAACTTGTCAATTCCAAGAAGTCAGAAACGACTAATACATTTATCAATTATTTATTTGGCACCTTCTATGTGTTAGATAACCGAAGTATCCTAGGAACTACAGATACATAATTATTCCTATCCTTCAGGAGTACAGTGAGAGAAGGTATGTGGGAAACAGTTCAGCGATGATTGAAATGCTGTAACTGAAACTTGAATATTGTAGGGAGCACGGAAGGAACCCCATATGTGAAATCCATAAAATTTGGGGTCATCTTTGTGTATGAGCCATATGTCCCATTATTTTAGGATATTTTGATTGAAGACAGTGGGATCATAAACAAGCTATGAATGCTACTTAAATGCCAACATTTGGTTGATAAGTATCTCTAAAGAAGGTAAGTTTTCCAGAAAAAAGGGTAAATACCGGTAGCTCCCATTGTGAGTCTCACTACTGGATCTAGCTCCTTCCTGCCTATCTTTTTCACTATTAGTAGGCCTGAAAAGTCAGTCTGTTGCTCTGTGGCTGTAAATACAATTAATCTTTAAATGTGTCGTGTTCAGGACATTACATCTCCGCTTCACTAGAACATTAGGTTTCTGAAGATGGATATAAGCTATTAATGAAAGGGTTGGTTGAGGCCAGTTATTAAAGTTTTTGAAACGTATAATGACTACATAGGCGAAAAGAGCCCTACAAAAGGGGTTTGTTCCCTGGTCCCAAATGCTGTGCCGGCCCCGCCCCCAGGCACGCTGAGCCTGCTACAAAGTCGGGGCGTGTCGGCGCATGCCTGTAATCCCAGCACTGGGGAGGCTGAAAACAGAAGGATTACTGAGTCCAAGCTGCGGAGTGAGACCCTGTACCAAATACATTAAGAAAAAACAAAACAAAAAACCAAAACTCTACAAAATATGACTTTCTTGTCACATTTTGTTTTGTCCATTTTAAGCAGAGGAGAATTACGATCAGACTTTTAGTTTGGAAATCAGCACCTGCAGCCAATGTGGAAAATGGGTTGAAACTATTGTAACATTCCTAAGAGATAGATGGAACAATCTAGAGCATTAGGGAAAAACTGGTAGATAGATTCTAAAATTTTAAAGATTCCACGTTGGATTTGGTGATTAATTTGTACAGCATCGGTGAGGAAGTGCCAAAAGGTAAGTATATGAGTTCTGTTGTTTCGTTGGTGATTGAACCTTCACACTAAGCTACACTCCCAGCCCTGGCTCTGTTTAAATTTTGAGGACTTTGCTAAAATCCTAAAATGACAGGGTGCGTGGGCTTGAGTTCACAATCCTGCCTCAGCCTCCCAAAATGCTGGGATTGCATGCGTCACCATTTCCGGGTGGTAAAGGGGGTTTTAAAAGTGAGTAGATGCTGCTGAATGCAGGAAGAGTGGGGAAAAGATAAGGTCCTGCCTCTGACGCGCTTCAGAAAACCGGCCCGCCTCTGGCGCGAGCCGGGAGCGACGCAACGGGAAGTCCTGAGCGGTGAGCACTTGCACAAGCCCAGGTAAAAGGAGTAAATAAGCACACTAAATACAAGATAAGCACTAAGTAAGGGTTAGAATTCTACCATAATTCTTTAAGCCCTCCCCGGGTCGAAGGCGCCGACTTTCACTCCAAGGGGCGCACGCGGGTCGTCTTCTTGCCTTGTTGGTCAGCGTCCGGGGTAAACTGCTGAGGAGACCTTGGCAGGAAAACACCTCACAACACGCGAAGCAGGTGACTGCGAACGCGGAGCCACGCGCGGGGCCCAGGGCCCTCCCCACCCCAGGGGCAGCCCGGCCTACTGTGCCGCACCCACCGGCCAGGCTGGTCGCCGTCGCCTCGAGTGCGCGGACGCGGATGGCAGAAGGCAGAAGGCAGAAGGCAGAAGGCAGCGGGCCGGACAGGCCTCCGCCCGCGCATGCGCACACTCGCCTCAGCGGCACGCGCGCAGGCTGCCCAGAAGGGCGCCGCGCGCCAGCGCAAGGGCACGTGGCCAGCGCTCCCGGCGAGCCCCGGGGTTCAGTCCCCAAAAGCAGGGGAAAGGTGGCTGTTAGTGTTCAACTTCACATGCATCACTCCTTTGCAGTGCTGGTCAGGGAATCCAGGGTCTCCACATACGCTAGGCAAAAGCTCTGGGCCTGAGCAACATCCTGAGCCCTTAAAATGTAATTTTTACATTATTTACTACCATTTGACTCATTAGAGAAAAAATTCAGCACAGCAAAGCTACATTAACTATTTTGTAGAAGGAGCTGGAAGGGGAAAAAAGAAAAAGAATTCAACAAAGATGAACCTTAAATACATTCCTATAAAAGAGAATTTATAGTAAACATTTACAAATTGCATTTGAATGCAGGATTTTTGTAAACCATCTGATGTGTCTGAGCCTTAAAGTAACATGATTTGAACAATGATACATGTTTATATTATTCTTTAATATTTACATATTCTCTAAATATTCAACAATGGTGACCCATCATATTCTGTCCAATATATAAAAGAAATTGCTCTTCATCTGTAGGACTCTTTAGCTACTTCATTGCTATAAATCAGTCTCAATTTATAATTTTCTACTGGCTTATGTACAACTGCTTTGAACTGTTTCAAATAAGTAAATTATTAAGACATAAACTAAGAAAGTTGAATTTTTCTTTACTTTCATACAAATGAGAAAACAAAGTACAGAAATATTTTTGTGTAGGGTTCTTTTTAACTAGTGAGGAATATGTTTGAAGAACTACAAATGGAACATAACATAGTATTCACAAGACATCAAAATGCTACGTCTCCAACTGAAATGCTATCAAGAAAATTACAAGCAATTTCTCTTAATATTATTTTAGTAAAGTGGCAAAGAACCCCAGTAATTTTTATATAAGAATCCTTTTACATTTAATAAAGGTATGTAATACTCCTTACCCTCCCTATTAATCTCACACACACAAGTTGGCATAGCATCTCAAGATACTCAAGTCACCTGAAACTCACTTATGTACACTGAAGGGTTCCCTACTCCTCTGTGCTCTGAGTCTAATCCTCAATAGCACTGCAAGGTAGAGCTTTTGGGAAGTGAATGGATTAGTGCCCTTTAGAGAACACAGAAAATCAGTTTCTTTCACCCCATAAGGACACATTGAGAGGATCCATCTATGAAAAGAGGGTCTCCATCAGACTGTTACCCACATTGGGAATGGAATAATCTGCAAAAATTAGGGTAAGTAAAAACCTTATTTGAAGTGGCAAGAAATCCTACTTCAAGAACAGAACCTCCAAACCACATGTATGAGTAATGAAAGTTTCATCATTTAGACCTTTTTGGTAAATACCATGAATCAGTTCAACTATTAAAAGGCCACACACTTTACTGATTTATGCTATGAGAGAAAAGATAAATTTGAAACTTGGAAGAAATTTTGTCCTAAAATAATACATATTAGCCTATAATCTGATAATTGATCCAAATATGTTAAAATTTCATGGCTTTTCTCCTTAAACAAGTAATTCATTTTGTAATGACTATTGTAACTATTACCAATTTTAATTTGTAATAATGACAGGCAACTTGATGATCATTAATATTTTTCACTAATTTTATTATACTATATAGATCTGTATTTCTGATCCAAGAAACACGAAAGTTCTAATTAAAATTTGTTCTTAAAAATTTACAATATTGCACTTTAATTTTTGGTAGTTTAAGGAATATCTGAGTAAAAAAGATCATACAAGAACTACAGTTTTTATCCTGCTTTATAAAGAACAAAGAACTTTGCTTAAGAGCAGAACTTACAGTATTATCAAACATACCAAATATTTACAGTGTAGACTAAAGTCTTACCTCTAAAGGAAGATTCAGTGTATTAGATGTAAGTATTAATTCAACAAAAGTACCCCTTCCATTCCCAATTCTGAGGAGTATTTTTAAGCCAAAAGGTATTGGTGAAAGATGCTTTTGTGATTTCTTTCAAGCGAATATACTTGGAAGGGAAGTTTGTTCTTAAAGCATCCAAACTGGCTCACCAAACCTTTATACTACTTCCTACATGATTTGAAAACGTGCAAGTTAATTGTTATGTTATAATTTCTATGATCCTGTACCTTTTCTAAGACACACAAAAATACTGAGGGACTGAGCTTATAATTTAGTGGTACAGTACATGCATGCTCAGCATGTGCAAGGCCCTGGGTTTGATCCCCAGACCCTCCCCACAAATACTGAATATGAAACTGCATGAATTATTTGAAATTTTTGTCATAGTGAAATTCATCTGCACTGACCTAGATTTGTTAATTTACTTTTAGATTCTCAATTAGGAAAAAAAAAATTCTCAATTAGGTAAATATACTAGAGATCTACTTTTCCCAAACAATTAGATAGTTTTGAAATAACTATTTGCACAAGCAATATTAAGATTTAGACCTATTTAACAGTATATTAAACATTCGAAACATCAAAGAATATAAATACAATATATTTTTAATATAAATATATAACACACAGACACTCATTTTTGGCCCCACCTTAAAAAAAAATCCAGCAATACTTTATTAGCCTTCAGCTCTTTGGGAAGTCTTAAATTTTTAATCATTGACTTTTTTTCCCTCTAGACTGAGACAGAAATCACAGTTTTACTTTTTATTATTTTTTATTTTTTGAGACAAGGTGTAATACTCTACTCAGGCTGGTCCTGAACTCACTATGTAGCCTAGAATAGACTTAAACTCTTGGTAATCAATCCTCCTGCCTCAGCCCCTAGTGCTGGGATTATAGGACTGTGTCATCATTTAAACTGGTATTTGAGAAGTAAATGATTTCCTTTTGTTACTTATCTGCAGGATGAATGGTTATTCCATGTAACTAGCAGCCAATGTGTTATGCTTCTTGTACTTTAATCCTACACCAAGACCTTTTATTTCAAACAGTGATTTATCATGGAATGATATGGTTTCTTCTCCAAAAACTATGTACCAATTGCATAGTTCTGATACAATAATGTAAGTCATAGTAGAGTTACAAAGGTATTAATATATATTAAATGAACTGAAACAAACTGTTAAAAACAATCTATCTTGAAAATGTTAGTGTAAACTTAAGAGGGAAACAGTCAATAGCAGAAGTTTTCTTTAAAAATAGGTTAATGCTAAGAATAACAGCTTTCAAATTTTGTTAAAAATAAGCTTAATAAACAAGAATACAAATTTTAATTCAAAACATAGCTCCTTGAAATGCCCTATTTCCTTGCATACAGCAGAAAATACATTTTCATAGTTTTTAACATTACATATAAAAATGAGGCACTGTTATACATATTTGAATCTATTCACACAAATAGGAGTTTCAGTCCCATCTGCAGGCTTGTGTTTGCTTGATGGCTTCTGAATTGCAAATTGTTCATGAAAATAAGTCTTCTGAAGGAGGTGCGTAAGAGAAACCAACAAATGCATCATCTGCCTCCAGTACACTAGCATTTACAATAGAGTAGTCAGAAGACACACACACAGAATATGGAACTGTTTCCTCTGTAAATACTGTGTCAAAGTTCCTGATATCATCCGGTCCAGCCTAAAACAGCAAAGGCATAATATTATTCCCTTTAGCTTTTCTGTTGTTAACTCAGTCCTTCATTAAAATGTCTTTGTGACTTTGTACTTTTTTCCTAGCAAGTTTAGGCATTTTCCTACTTCATTTTTCTGGCTTTCCTAATTTTTATTATTTAGGTGAAGTTAATCCGTTCTTATAATTAAGGTTTTTACTGTTGGATGTAGAGAAAAGAAACAAACAGTGAGAAAGGCTAGCTGTCATCACAGTTGCCCAACCTGGGCTAATTTGAACCTGACAGTCTGTAATTCATCCCCCTTTTCTCTATCCATCTCCAATCCTATGTTCACAAACAAAGCTCAGGTTTTGAGGACAGCATTTTTTATTTGGGCTTCCATAAATGCCTGCCTATCTACTCTGAGTTCTAGATGTGTGAAGCCTTCTGATGGAGGAAGGATGGGCTTGCAAGTAAAAATGAAAGCAACTCTTACTGGGCTACAGAGAAAACTAAAGTACTTGTTTAGAGCATGCTGGACTGTGGAGGACCAAGAAGACCAGATACATGGGAAATGAAGTGAGGTGGATACTTAGGCTCCAAGCGGTGGTTCTTTATGAAATCTGATGTAAGCTAGTGTATTTTCCTCTTTAAGAATATTTACAAATAAAAATTTGGATACAAACTCAAGTGACTCATTTGTAAAGATCACCCTTGAATCTAAGTTATTTCTTTTTTTTTTAAGGTTATTTCTGTCCTAAGAGAAAGGAATCCTAAAATGTCCAAGTCAAGAATCTATCTGAAGCGAACAGATCAGGATTCAGAGCAGATACTATAAATAAAGGATATTAGCCTTGTATATCTGTAAATTGAGCAGAGAACAGAAAAATCCAAATGGTAGGTCCTTCTACACAAGAAAAGCCCCTGTAGAGGACAAAGAATTCTAGAATTTACAGTACTGAACAGTTTAGCATTAAAAGAAATTTAATTATTATCCAGGATGGATGTATAGTTCAGTTTTGTAGAGTGCTTCCCTAATGTGCTCAAGGCCCTGGGTTTGATCCTTAACACTGCCAAAAAAGTAAAATTTCCATCTCATAGGAATTTTTAAATATAATCTTAGAAGCATGGTTTTATGGTTCAGATCTACATAATGTCCCCCAGAAGTCTAATGTGTCAGAAGATGGGTTCCAGTTGCAGGTAGGTCACTGAGGGCATAACCCAGACAGTGCATTTTTGTTCCCAGTTTCCTTTACCTTGGCCTTGCCGTCTCTGCCTTGAAGCCAACCAACTGTGGCCTAAATCCTCAGAAATGTGAGCCAACATAAACTTTTCCTTTAAGCTAAAGGTGTCAGGTATTTTGTCCAAGTGGTGGGAAAGCTGACTAACACACAGGTTTTCTGAATCTGGCTGTTTTATATAACTTATTTTAGCTCTGTTAACCTTTCTCTTCTATAGTCAACCAGTACAAATTCTAGAAAATGGGATAAACTGTCCCTAAATAGGATAAGTATTTCTGAAACTACATTTTTGGACTACAGAAAATAAATTTACAAATACTATGTTTATAGGTATCACACCTATTAACATCTGATATGGGCTATGCACAGAAACTCTTTTTTTTTATTTTTTTAATTTTTTTATTTATTTATTTGAGAGAGAGAGAGAGAGAGAGAGAGAGAGAGAGAGAGAGAGAGAGAGAGTGGTGTGTGTGTGTGTGGCCAGCTCAGCCCACCAG